TGTAACTCTTGTCTTAAGCATTTATGGCTTTGCAACCTATAAATGTTGATATAGTTTGAAGTAGTATCATCATTACTTTTGTTCTTTTGTCATAATTTATGCCTTCTATAGGTACCATGTTCTCCTGGCTTCATTAGCTTATCTTAAAGAGTATACGTATCATTGGAAGAAGAATTTAAGAAATTGAGTCGCAAGCATTAAAGTACAACAAGGAGCTTGCAGAATAAATTGAAGCAAATCAAGCACTACCACACTGCCTCCATTCCAGTGTGCATTTTATTGTCCTGTATAAATGAAAAAACATGTATTTTGTTAGTTATGTAATCTGTAAAGCCTATTAATAGATTGATATGTACAGAGGTTGCTTATTGTAGATGAGATTGTTGAAGAGAATAAAGAGAATAAAATCCTATTTTTATGCAAATTATATGTATCTATTTTTCTATTTATTACCTTGTGTGTAATTTGCCATAAGGTCTATGGCTTCACTTGATGGAATTTCGTTGACCTGTGCCTGCATTTGCAAACATCAATGGTTGGGACATCAAAATATTATAATTGTATATAGCACTTAGTACTAATCAATTTATTGATTTATACCATTAGCAAGCTTGTAAATGACAATGATTGTGATGTAGATGATGAAAAACTATGTTGTGATGAAGGAATTGAGAATGAAAATGTTGAATCTTGTGTTTGTGCAAGTTGTGTTGGAACTTCTAAATATGAAACTGTTGAAACTTGAGCTTGTGTATCTTTCATTTGATCAATCTTTTTTCTTCCCCTTTGTGATGAAGCCTCTCTTTTTTTCCCAGATGGCTTCTTAGATGATGAAGCATCTTGAGAGTCCTACAAGAAATAATACAAATGCAAAATAAGGAATATTCTTTTTTCTTTATGTACAAATTAAAATTCAATACCTTTGATTCAACTTTTCTTCTTATTTTCCTATTCTTCTCCTCCCAACCTTTCCAACGTCTTTTTCTAGATTTTCCATCTCTTTTTTGAATCCCTTTGGCATATTTTGTGGCTCTGTGATTGGTTCAGAATTCTCATTTTTATTGCTGTCAGGAATCTCATTTTCTAATTCAGTGATACATCTCTGAACACGAGTAAATTCCTCAGGAGTATCAGCAGCTTTTGTTGCCAACCTTACCATCCCAATCATCAGTTGTTTAAATCTTCGTGTTTTGTCGAGTTTAGGATCTACTTGTATTTCATTTCCTTTGGCATCATGCACAACCCTGTTCCTTGCTTCCTTAGTCCACCGCTTGAGAATATATTGCTTAGGCATAACTCTTATATCTTTAGACTCGTATACTTTCAGTGCATGACAACATAATATCCCTGTGGTCTCAAACATCTGACAACTACAAGAAATTTCATGTGTATCAGGATTAAATTCAATTCTCCATTCCCCTTCTTCATCTATCATATGAGATGTATATAAAAACAAAGGCTCTTTCTCATCACGTTCAATTAATTTTACAGAGAATTGGAGATCCCATTGTTCTTGAAACTTGTCAAAAATAGTAGGGGTATAAGACTGCACAAGTTGGCGCAAGATAGGTGCACTTTGATTAATCATCTTTGGTATCCTTTGTCAAGATTCGTACTCAAGTTGCAATTCCTTATATCTCTTATTTGCTACAACTTTGTCAAACCTTTTGAAGAATCGATTAATATCTAATTTAGGCTTTGTGCATCTCTTTACCTCAGCGTTCACGCTTTCACTAATTTGTGTGCTTCTCATGCCTAATGTAAAAGCGTCCTTCATATAGCACCTGGCCCATTTCTCCTTAATGTTGTAAGTGAAGTTCAACCACCCATTTTCATGAACATTATAAGAAGATAATAATTCACTCCATGCCTTTTCAAACCTATCTACTTCAACATAATCAAACATGCATTTTTTAAAGTCAGTCAAAAAGTGTGAACCATCTTTCATCAAGTTCCCAAGATGCTTAATGCCATTTTGCAATAAATGCCTAGTGCATAAACAATGTCTTGTATTAGGAAGCACTTCACTTAATGCTCTAGCCATAGCTTGATCTTGATCAGTAAATACTGTTTGAGGCTCATTTTGTATGTGAGCATCTAAGAAGGTTTCCAGTAGCCACTTAAAAGACTCAATGGTCTCATCGTACAATAGTGCTGCTCCAAAAATAACCACACTTCTGTGATTGTTAAAGCCAGAAAATAGTGCAAGGGGTCGACAATTTTTGTTTGTACTATATGTTGTGTCCATTGATACAACCTCACCAAAATGTGCATAGTCTTTAAGCATATGAGCATCTGCCCAAAACACATTGGTAATGTGTTGTTCCATGTCCAATTGATATTTGTGGTAAAAAGAAGGATTATCAGAAATTTGTTTTTGAAAATATTCAAGAAGACATTCCACTTCTCCAAACTTCATATGTTTTCGCCTTTTTTTCATTAAGTAATTCCTTGCATCTGTTATGGTATAACCAAGATTTTCTTGACCACCAGTGTATGTACTCATTAAGTCAAAAGCTTCCTTGGGTTCAAGCCCAGCTTCTTCTGCGAGATCCACTTCACAAGCTTGCACTTCTGATAAATTTCTCTGTGATGGTAATAAGTGCTTTGTTTCTTCTGTATGAAGGGGGTGATTATGTTCTTCAATAAACTTAGTGACTCTGAACTTTTGATCGACACGAGATACTATCATTTTTGCCTTGCAATTAGTTCTTGTCTCCGGCCGGTATCTAGAAGAAGTTGTCCCTCTTTTGTCTTTTTTTCGCACACCCTCTTTACAACATACATATCTGTATGTAATAAAAGAGCCATCTTTCCTACTTTTAGTTCCATTATACTTCCTAACTCCAAACCCAATTTTATTTCCATATTCATTCCAGAAGTTCCATGCTTCGTCCAAGCTTTTGAACTCCCTTCCTATCTGGAGTTTAAGTTCGTTTTCCATCAGCTGGTTCCTATATGCAATAAAACATTGTAATTTTAAAAATGTTATCTTGCAATATATATATATATAAATATATATATATATAAGCCTAAACAAGAATTCCTTTTCTTTTTCTTTTACTAATTACACATATTTCAATAAAATATGGTTATTCTTCAAATATTAATTCCAATACATAGATAACTATTACACAAATATTATATATGTAATTAAAGAAACAACTAGAAAGTATAGACAAATTCAAAACCAACCTATGATTAGAATGTCAAGCTCCTTCAATCCGAAACTTTTCTTCGCGTTGAGAGAATGGAAGCTTTCGAAAATTCCTGTAGTGCTTTCAGTTTTGACACCTTCAATTGAAAGCTTTTTTTTTTTAATTTGATGTTTTCTCCCAACCTTCAATCGCAGAAACTCTTTTTCCTCTAAAAGTTAGCACCAAGCGTGTTAGAGACTCTTCAATTAGGTTAATGTTGAGACAATAATTTTATTTACTTAATTACATTATCTTTGAGATTTCATTCTCGATATATAATTTTTTTCTGAATCATAATTTCCTAATGAAAATAAAAGAAAGATTTTTGCCATCAATGATTCGTGATTCTGCATCTGGTCAATCACAATTGAAAAACTACAACTAAATGAATAAAATAATAGAGCCTTGTCTTCTATTAAGTAAAACGCTGCGTTTGGGTGATGAGCACTTGGTGCTCATCACATTGCTTAGCAGGAAACTGGGTCCCCTTTTTATTTGTTTAATTTTAATCTTAAAGCTCCTTTTCGGATAACAAAAAAATTCTCCATTAAAAGAAGACGCGTGATCACCATAAATTCCCCTGTTCGGTCTTACTCTTTCTTTTCTTTTTCGGCCATTCCCCTGTTCACACTTCACAACGCATAGTCACTTTCTTTGTCATAAGGGCAGTGGAAGTGAGATCAGAATTATTTTTCAAATTCTTACAAAAATAAAAAGCTACGATTATTATAATCGATCTTTATATCATTGAACACACTGCCATAGCCACAATAGGAGTTATGCTGTCCATATCACTTCCACGTCACCTTTACATGTCAGATTGTGCTGAAATAAATAGGGGAGAATTACAATGACGTACCAAGCAAAAAAAAAAAAAAAAAAACAAGTCTCAGAGGTTTGTCATTCTCACCATAAGACTTGTCATTATAGGCTGTTGAGATTGTTATTGGGACATTTTGGTAATTATTTTTCTTCTATGGGACTTGATTGTAATTCTCTTAAATAAATAGTCATTATTAAAGATGACTACGAAGGACTCTATTTTTTTAAAAAATAAAAAATTCTCTTAATCCCCGTATCAAATACAAATTTCTTAATCCTAATCTGATCACCCTCTCTGTTTTCTCATCACAAGAAATTTCTCTGCCAAGCAAAAACCACGCGTAACAAATATAATAAACAGCAGGACCTCTTTTTTCACATAAGAGGAAAATTCTAATTTAAAACACAATGTTATAATTAGATGCGGATTTATATTGGACATTTCACAGGTGGTAGTTAAATGAATGTTTGTTATTGTATGTGGATAATGCAAATTTCTTCTCCTTCCCGAAAATAAAGATTTCTTAAACTGAATATCCCGGTTTATTTATCTCACTGGTAAGAATCGTCGAGCATCCCCCTACCAGGTGTGCAATCGAGCTTTGGAGTTGAGGAGGGAAAAGTTGGAAAGAAATTTACAAGTATTTATATAAATCCATTTCAATTCAGAAAAAATTTAATTTTATATAGGATGAAATAATAGTATATGATTCGTATTTTGAAAAGCCCCAGCCATTTTATTTCTTGCAAGATTAGGTAAAGGCCCCACCCACCACATGACATTATGAGGCAGTGAGAGAACCTTCCACTTTAGACCCATCAATCTCTCCCTGGCCACTTCAAAAATAAACAAAAGACGGTTTCTCATTCTGTGCATTCCATTTATTGTTATTTGTTCATTTCACATAACTTCTCTTATCCTCTCTCTCTCTCTCTGTATATATACATACATGAAGGCATCCTCCTCCTGACTTGCTCATCATCATCCTCCAACCTCCATGGCTCTTCTGGGTTTTGCTGCTCTGACCCTTTGTTTCTTCTCAGTGACAGCATCCCAGCCTCATGCAGCGTCGCCTTCAAGAACTGCCTCTTTTCCTGATCCTTCTTCTTCGTCATCACTTGGTATATGTGCATCTTCTGTCATCGTCCATGGCTACCAATGCCAAGAGCTTCATGTATGTATATATATAATGCCCCTCTAATATAATAAACCTGCACACTCACGTAACCTTCCATTCATAATGCTCTGCAAACTTGAATATCACACTCATCAAGATATATACATATATATCTTTCACAGGTTACAACAAAAGATGGATATATTCTTAGCCTGCAAAGGATTCCACAAGGCAGAGCTGAGGTTGGTGGAAGCAGTGGTCGGAAGCCGCCGGTGATTATACAACACGGGGTGTTGGTGGTAAGAAATATGATATAACTATATATGATGATCATATATATCTGCAATATATATATTATCGGATCAGATTTGCTCCCAATTTTTCAGTTTCAAAGAGGCTATACATTTACATGAATTCCTGGACATTGCCTAGAGAATAAGTATTTGTGTGTTACTGTACGCGGTAGCTTCTAAGCCTAGATGATGAAGTGATAATAATCCACCCCGGCGCCTCAGGAATATATCCTTTATATATGTAGTTCAGTGTGAACATGATAAGGTGACGAAAAGCCAAAAGGTATTCAGTTCCGCGTCTGTCACGTTATGCTTCTGCAAGTGCTTTCTGTCCATTTTCAAGTCAAAGAGATCATGACTCTTCAATCTTCAACATAATTTAAGTCTTATATTGGGTCTCGCAGTTACATAGTCAAAGAAAATTGAAAACTGATGACATAAGGAAAAACATTACGTTATGTACAATTTACTTCTACTTTTTACCCATTTTTTTAAATTAATAGTCTTATCTATGGCAAAAAAATATAACAGTGCTGGAAAGTTTTGGGCTGTCGTATTATAACGGGATTGCTTGAGAGTGAAGACGACTTTATCAAGACCGTGGCGTTATAATCAAGAAACATAAAATGTGTTGGTAACGGCACCAATAATTAGAAGACGGCTGGTAGGGGCGTGATACGTACAAGACGCAGCATTATAGGATTATACTTCTGCGTTCTCTTCGATCATGTTGATTCCGAATGATGAATAGGCATCTCTCTCGGAAACAATGTCACCTCCAGGCATATTGGGATAGCCCTGATATTCTCCAAAATTTTAATAATCTTCATGGCTACATGTGACTGATCTCCAAATATCGGAACGGAGATATCAATCCCTGAAATAAATGGCCCATCTTACAACTGTAGTTCCCCCTAATCTTGCTCTTACATTCGTGACTCTTCAAACACATTTTCCTCGTTTTCCTTTTCTGACCCACAAATTATCAAACCCAAAAACTAGTTTACTGTTAAGTTTCCTAGATAATAAATGTGTTATACGGTCCCCCCGCTTTATGACACCTCAAACTCTGAATCTGAATGTACCGCAAATTCATGCACCGTCTCCAGCACATAAGCGTATGGTCCTTTTGGGGTTCGAAGTTTAAGAACTCCACTCATCACTTGTCTTCATCGTTTGTAGATGTACGTGGTGAAGCGAACGAAGGTATTAGTGTCTTCCACTCTCAGAATGGGCGGGCAAGTTTGTTTGTTCTTAATTCTTAGACCTAAAATAATATGATTCATATATGTACACGCATATATAATGCATGCACACCCACGCACATATTTCTTTTGGCCAAAGGCTTGATGTGTGCACGGATAATGCTACATGATTTGTTGGTTTGCTGACCTTTATACGACGTCGTGGGAGCAGGATGGGGTGACGTGGCTTCTGAACTCTCCAGAACAAAATCTACCCATGATTCTTGCTGATAATGGCTTCGACGTGTGGATAGCTAATACAAGAGGAACCAGATTTAGCCGCAAACATACCTATCTGGACCCGTCCAACCCTGTTCGTTATCATAGCTTTCTCTGGTTCTTCATTCTTTTTTTTTTTTTTTTTTAATATTCTTGGGAGACATTATTTTAATCTGCTGAATCGTAATTGGGAGAGATTTGTGTGATGCATGGCAGGCATTTTGGGATTGGTCATGGGATGAACTGGTTACCTATGATCTACCAGCTGTTTTTGACTACGTGGCCAGCCAAACAGGACAGAAGATTAACTACGTGGGCCATTCTCTGGTACTACTACACCATCACATGATTATTCATTTCATCGTGAAAATCTGACATGTTATTGAAAAAACAAAAGAAGCAAGTTTGAGTGAAACACATTTGGCAGGGGACTTTGATAGCTTTGGCCTCGTTCTCAGAAGGAAGCCTGGTGGACCAGCTTCAAGCAGCAGCCTTGTTAAGCCCCATTGCCTATTTAAGCCACATGAACACTGCCCTTGGAGTTATTGCTGCCAAAGCCTTTGTTGGCGAGGTACATAACCTAACCAATAAGCCTCACATTCTTCAACTGCAAAAATAATCAAATAAACTGGACCCTTCATATTTATGCTAGTTCATGCTAATATTTTTGTTTTGTCGAACAGATCACCACCCTGTTCGGTCTGGCAGAATTTAATCCCTTAGGGTAAGAACTTAGAACATACAAGTAATTAAGCTAAAAGAAAAACATTATGATTGTGGATAATTAAACGTTTTTTTTCCTTCCAAATCCTTTGACTAGGTTACCCGTCACTGCTTTTGTAAAGTCTCTCTGCCATCACCCTGGGGTAGACTGTTACGACTTGTTGACCGCATTAACCGGTATAAGTCTTTGCCATTACTTCATGACTCATCAACTATGCAGTTTTGATTCCTGACCTTGTTTAATGAACGCCTGAACTGTCTTCTTCTTCAGGTAAAAACTGCTGTCTCAATTCTTCAACAGTGGATCTATTCTTGAAGAACGAACCCCAGTCCACATCCACAAAGAACATGGTGCACTTGGCTCAGAGTAAGTCTATTTTGCCCGCATCTTCAGTAAAGATTCTGACTCAAAAGCCTGTTTCTTTAATTGCTGATATAAAAGTGATGAACTTTCTGCAGCTGTTAGACGTGGGGTTCTGGAGAAGTTCAACTACGTGAGACCAGACTATAACATAATGCATTATGGAGAAATAATGCCCCCAGTTTACAACCTTTCCAACATCCCTCGTGACCTTCCTCTGTTCTTGAGCTATGGAGGCCAAGATGCGCTCTCCGATGTTATTGATGTTGGCAGCTTACTTGACTACCTTAAACTCCACGATGTGGACAAGCTCAGCGTTCAGTTCGTAAAAGACTATGGACATGCTGACTTCGTTATGGGGGTCAATGCCAAGGACATTGTGTACAATTCTGTTCTTGCCTTTTTCAGGCGTCACATTGGAGCCTGATAACGGAAATCACAGCTTCTTCAACTTTCCCCCACACTGTATTATATAGAAGAGTGAGTAAATAGTAGAATGAGAATTTTTATGTACGAGGCTATAACTTGGATTCCCAAGTTATCTAGTGAAGCTTAACTGATGGCTTATGAAGAACACTCTGTTCATTGGTAGTGCAAATGGGACCAGTCCGTTTTACTGTGTCGTCAAATTTATAATGCCGTCGCAGAACCTGCAAACCAAATGAACTGGTCTTGGCTTGCTATCTAGAGAGAGCAAAATGCATGGGCATTTAAAATAATTTAAATGGAAATTTCACGTTCTAACACGAGAGAAAGTGGTTCCGACATCTCTTAACGATCACTTAATAACCCAAACTTCAAACCAAATTTTTGATAAGAGCAGTAGAGAGAGAGATGGAGAGGATTTTTCTTTTCTTTTCTTTTCTTTTGCGCATTTTGGTTGGAAATTCGATGTTATTTCAACTCCCAAAAAGAATAAGTTGCAATTGAGAAATCAAAATGATAAATGTGTCTAATTTATATAAAGTTTAATGCATTTTTGTACTATTTTTATCGACTAATATGATAAAAATATAAACGACAAAAAAAAGACCTAACATTTTAATTCTTTTATGCTATGTCAAATGTAATTATTTTATTTCATTTTTCATGCTTTAATAACTTGGCATATTTCAGATGTCAACCAAAAATGGAATGAAAGTTTTGACAAAAAAGTAATTAAAAAACAAGGGTTGAGGTGTAATTTTAACTTTAACTTTATTTTTTAGGTGTAATTTTACTCCTAATTTTTTAATAATATAATTTTAACTCTAATCTTATTTTTTAGGTGTAATTTTTAATTTTGTTTCTAATCTTTAGGTGCAATTTTAATAGTCAAGATGACAAAAAAAATCAGGATCAAAATTATATCATTAAAAAGACCAAGAACAAGATTACCATGGAGGTTAGAACAGCACCTCAATCCTAAAAAAATTTAAAAGAGGAAAAAAGGCATATTCCATGTGTTGCTCTGCCTCATGTGACAAAATGGGCGTGTCCACCCTCATTCTTTCGTCCGGCAACGTCGAACTTCCCAAGTCTTATTTTGCTCCACGCAAAAGGTGTGACCAGACGGAGTAGCGTAGCGATGCCGGAGGAGACTACGTCGATCGACGATGTTATGGAGGCTGCCTCCGGGCCCCACTTCTCGGGCCTTCGCATTGACGGTCTTCTCTCGTCTCCGCCCTCTTCTTCTGCTTCATCACCTGCTCATCGATTTGCTTCCGCTGCCGCTTCTGCTTTGGATTCAACCCTACCCTCGGATTCTACTCCCACGCGGCCCTTCGTTATCGGTAATTTTCTCTTCAATTACGTCTCTCAGTCATCCTATCTTGTAAACAGGTCGATCACGTTTTTTGTTGTTGAAGTGATTTTGCTTTTTCAAATATGCTTGAATCTTAAGCTTTCATTTTCTTAACTCTTCTCCTTGTTCGTTGAGCCGGTGGCTTCACTGTTTACATTTCATCATTACAGTTTGGGTTGATTGAATGTATAGGTGTTTCGGGAGGTACTGCTTCAGGGAAGACCACTGTATGTGACATGATAATCCAACAGCTTCACGATCACCGCGTTGTGCTAGTCAATCAGGTTTTCTATCTTTCCTTTCCTTTTCTGGCTGCTCTGATTAGCTGTCTAGTTAAGATGCTTTACCTGTAGGATTCGTTTTATCGTGGTTTGACACCTGAAGAATCGGAACGTGCGCACGAGTACAATTTTGATCACCCTGGTAATTCATACGAGCATTCAATATCATCGAGATCCTTTGAAGTATTCAGACCTAGCTCTTCTGCTACTCTCTGCGACTTCATATGTTCAGAAAGACAACTTTTAGTGTGCTACTCTTACTGTTTTATTATGATTTATGTGTCCCTTGCCTCGAGCATTTGTTAAGTCTTTTAACTGAATCTCGGTTTTTCTTGTAGATGCTTTTGACACTGAGCAACTATTAGAATGCATGCAAGAACTCATAAACGGCCACGCAGTTCAAGTCCCAATTTATGACTTTAAGAAGCACCAGCGCTCTTCAGATAGTTTTCGGCAGGTATCACCTCATATCATGTTAATTGTCTTTGGAATTAGGAATCTTAGTTTTATAACTACACTGTAAATTGTCCTGTGGAAATCATACTCCATACTTGACACAGTTCCTTTGCTTTCTCTGCATTTATTTTTGGCGTAAATTATTTTGCTATTAATGGTCTCTATGCCCTTCCATTTTTATGATCCACCTTGATTTGAGACACATTTATGTTCTTACACTGTTAATGCAGTAGATGGGATGGCCATAAAAAATTGTCGTTGGGAACACATTGTTGTGCAGCTGTTTCCTAGTTAGTGTTACACATCATGCACATTTTGGGGGAGAAATTTTATTAGATCTGTAAATCACGAACTACACACTTAACAGTACATATTACACCTGATGAATTATCTCGTCATGTCAAATGTATCACATTGTTGTTTTTTATGCCAATAACTGTTCTTTTTAATTACTGTTTCTGATGACTTTTTGATAAAGAGTAATTGATGGATGTGCTCAGGTCAATGCTTCTGATGTCATTATTTTGGAGGGAATTCTTGTGTTCCATGACCAACGTGTTCGTGATTTGATGAACATGAAAATCTTTGTTGACACAGGTCTGGTCTATTTGTATCATGTGTGAAAGTGCTGTTGTTCAATACAAGCCAACATTAGTTACATATTTTTGCGATAACTTGTCATAAGATTATTTCCCCCTTGCCATGTTTTGCATTTCATTGCTCTTTGTGCCTCGAGTTATTTTTACCAGGTTCTGATGTTGGGACAGAATAACCTGATGGATGCTTATGCTTGAATTGCTTTAGCAGTGATATTCATAGAAAATCTGGATAGTTAAAAGCGCAGAATACTTCTTGCTATCATTTGAGAGTATTTGTAAAGATACCCTATAATCTTCTATAATGATTCAGGCTTGTTTGGGGCCTCTTCTTCATTTCAGTATGCCTAGTAATGTATTCTCCAAGATTTCTAGAAGTATTTAACTCATGATGATTACCTCACCTGCCTTCTTTGTGTTTCTATTCTTGTCTTTGTTGAGCTATTAGATTAGCTGCTGGCAATTGCTTGAAGAACACTATGCAAAAGAATGCTAGTTTTTTATTATTTGTTTTAGTGATGGAAGCCCTCCCTCTATATCTATCTAATGTTATATTTGGGTTTACTAATTGCCTGTAGATGCTGATGTGAGGCTTGCTCGTAGAATTCGACGTGATACAGTGGAGAGGGGTAGGGATATAAACTCTGTTCTTGAACAGGTACACATAGTAGATTAATTTGTAACTGAGGGTTATTAGCAATTATGCAAATGATGACATCTGTTTCTATCAAAATCTTTGTGTTTTTGAGAAATTTTAATGTGGTAAATTGATAAGGAGATTATTTCTGGTGAAAAAAGTTCCTGGCTAAATGTGATCAATCATATTGTGTATTTGTGCCTTATTATGTTGTTGAATGTGCAGTATGCAAAGTTTGTCAAGCCTGCCTTTGATGATTTTGTTCTTCCATCAAAGAAATATGCTGATGTGATCATCCCCCGAGGAGGTGATAATCATGTTGCCATTGATCTGATTGTCCAGCATATCCATACAAAACTTGGTCAACACGATCTATGCAAAATATATCCAAATGTGTATGTTATTCAGTCAACATTCCAGGTACTTATGCCGAACCATTCTTAGACCCATTTTGTTTTAATTTTCTATTCTCTTCATGAATTAGAAGTGGATGGTAAATTTGGATTATGATGCTTTGCGTTGTGGGTCATGGAACTCACATGTTAATTACTGGCTGAAACATTATAACTTGGAAGCAATGTCTTTGACTGCCTGGAGAAAGGGTGTTGGATGAGATTTGAGTTGGAGGTTAACTGTTCTTCACTGGTTATGCCTAAACATTTCAGATAAGGGGGATGCACACATTGATTCGTGACAAAGACATATCGAAGCATGACTTTGTATTTTATTCAGACCGACTCATACGCCTGGTACACAGTGCTTTCAACCTTTTTGCTAAACCTCTTCACTTGTTTTCATATCTTTATCACTTGGAACACTGGATAATGACTACTTTTGGTGGTATTGGTATCAGGTTGTTGAGCATGGCCTTGGCCATTTGCCGTTCACTGAAAAGCAGGTGGTCACTCCAACAGGCAATCATCTATCCTTGTCTCCAATCATCGTATCTGTTTCAAATTCCTTGTATTCTCCTCCCTTTTTGGGAAACAGGATTTAAGCTTTGCAAACTGCCCTACTGTGAGATGTACTTGGTTTTGTTGATCTGATGTCTGGATATTCACTTTTTACCCATGGATTAACTGAACCGATACAAAGTAGAATATCCTATCTTGATTTGCCAGTAGACATTGAATGAAGATGCAAGGTCTATCGACTGTCTTATATAAGGAAAAAGACCTACATACTTAAGCTCACATACCTAAGGTACTTCATTCCAATCAGACGAGAATGCGTGGAATTTAAATTTAAAAATAAGTTAACACTGCTAGTAGCAATAGTTAGGTATAGGATAAGTGATGCATAAAAAATCTTCTTGCCCTTGTTTGATTAGAATAATGTACCTTAAATGTATGATCTTAAGCACATAAGTTTTCTCTCTTATTTAAACCCTCATTTATTTCTGAATGGGCGCTTCCTCTCTGTTCACAGTTAGTATGTAACTTATACAAGTAGTCTTGTTTCTATATGAAAATAAAATTGTAATGGCTTGAGTTTTGTTGTGATCTTGACTTTAGGAGCAACTAGAACTGTGGCCTCCTTCTCTAGTTTGCTGAGGCATATGCTTAATGAGTTCTTCTCCTTTCATTTAAATCATCTAATCCCTAAAAGTAAGTGCAATCTGTACATTTTGAATTTTGTTGTTGCAGGATCTGTCTATACTGGCGTTGACTTCTGCAAAAAATTGTGTGGTATTTCTATTGTCCGAAGGTGAGCTTTGAACCAGGTATTAATTTTGGCAGGCTCAGCATCTAAATGATATAATGCTAGAAATGCAATTTTAAGTACATGCATTTAAATGCCCTTATTTGGTTAGATTAATATTCTCAAATTCTCATGTAT